GGGTGGCCCTGAACACAAATTTTATATCCACATTATAAGAGGCTTTGCATGTTAGGATATCGATTCATTCATTATAGGTGGAACCCTGTAAGAGTTCTTCAGCACCTTAAAATTCCCTCATAAAATCTATTTTAATTCTGATGCAGAAATCTCAACTTTGACTCAAACTCGTATCATAGATGAATCTCTTCTTTTTCATTGGGCAAAATTGTAATTTGAAAGAACCAACTTACATATTAGTGGAAAGATTTTTGTTCTTCGTGATTTCAGTCAATAAGTGACACTCTGATAAATGACCTTACCTGGCTTGAAAGGTTCTTGACTTGCTGGGCATGAATGATCTCTGGAGTATCAACCACAGAAGTGAAATTGGCTTTTTCCATTTCTGCTGATTGCTTATACTTAATCTGCAAAAGGACACCCATCAATTGGGTAAATGTTTATAATGCACACAACATTTGTTGGCTTAGTTTAAGAGGTGATTAGTATTTCTTTTCCAAAAGGATTCATTCATTTGCCATTTAACAGACATTTTTTCCTATTGTGTTTATAGCTTTATACTAAAGAATAAGATTCAGAAAAAAAGGTTGACTCCTAGCTGTTTAAAGACTACCTACTTGAGCCAGGGAGCAGAGGAGAGTAGAGGGGAGAGATAAAGGGAAAGAAGAGAAATAATAAACAGATAATAAGGCATGGATTGTCTACATACATAAGATCTGGGAGCAGGACGAGTAAGCAAAAGACCCCTACAAATTAGTATTAGACAATGTGGGATACCTAAAAGTTGTGTTTTAAAATTAGGCCTTGAAAGGAGGGAAAGAAAGAACTCTCAAACTATGCTAAGCAAGGAATTCTTGGTGCCGAATGAGGAGTGTGTTCACTAAGAAACAAGGCCTGGGGTGTCACAGTCGGCCCCAGCTCCAGGCAGGTTTGTGGTTCCCCAACTTCTGCCCATTGCTTTGAACGCCTCTGTGGTTACAGACTCTGAAAGACGGATAGAAGCAGTCCTGGCAAAGGGTTCCCGATCCTTTTAGTAGAATGGATTCCACTAGGCAGTTGTTTACAAATGTTACTACACACTCAATTGACTATCATTGACCAACTAGTAAGATAATAGAAGGACAACATTGTGTGGCTGTAATCACAGCTACTTTTCCAAAAGGTTGATATGAAGTAGTAACACTGACCTGACTGGCAATATCAGTCGCATTCCGGGCCCTCATGAAGTCGGGGGTCTCATTGGCCATGGCATTCAGGCCTCTTCCTTTGACTTCCAGCTCGAGGTCTTTCTTATATTCTTTCTATAGTAGCATTAAAAAAAGTTACCTAACTTCCATGATTAGGTGATAAACATACAGAGTGAATATAAATCCACATTACATGCCACCTTAGTTGCTAGTGTTCACCTTCACTGTTCCCTATGGTAGGATGAAGTGATGACCACTGAAGCCCATTTCAGGAGACATGACTCAACAGAAGGCCTCCTTTGAAACAGTTTAGTGTCCTCTATATAGAAAGTTAAACTATAAAGCAAATTTTAAATCTGGCTTGGTACACATCTAGGATTAAACTGAGATGCACACCACTCCAGTGTGGTGTATTTATTTAAATGTGCACACAAAATGGATCAAGGCTAAATTAAATAATATTAGAGAACAGGTTATGACAGGTATAGCCACTATAGACACAGACTGTTACACTATCAACTTATTAGAAATTAAGGTCTATTTATTTAATAGTAA